TTCTTTAGCTGCAGCTCCACCTGGCTCTGTCATATCAACACGATGAGTACATGGCCTATGAGGCCGTGTCCACACTTGGATTAGGCCTTGGAGGATTTGGCCATAGTAAATCTTTAGTTAAGTATCCAATGCCCATTTCTCCTTTAAATTTGAATAGTGTAAATCTAAAGCAACTACATTGCCCTGAGTAAAATATTTTTAGTGAAATTTCATTTTGCTTTCTTCCTTTTTTTAAAACAAAAAATCCTAAATTTGTAAATCTGAACTTGGTAACTATCGCTTTGGTCTCTAAGTCAATGAACTTTCTGACAACATTCCTTGCAAACGCTTAAGCCTTTCCTGGCAAGTGATTAACAACTGGGATGAGCCCTTCCATGAGACATGAGTTTTGCAGCCTGTTGTGTGGTCTGTTTGGCTGGGTCTGTAGCACATTTCCGATTGTCTAAATATAAAGAGGTAAAAAGGAAAGGGACTGCCAAACTCCACTGTATAACATAAAGCGAGTCAGAGAGAAAAGGTTTATAATTTTTCTTCTTCCTTTTACGTTGCTGGCTGCATCTTGGCTTTAGCCAGAAGATGCTAACATCATTTCCTCTCTATAAAATGGCTTGCACGTGATACAAAACCAGAATATGTCTTTTTTTTTTTTAACTTAATAAAAGCTTTGATAATTCAGGGCTATGAAATTCAAGAATCCTGATTTAATCTGAGAACTGTTAAAACATCACTTTACTGAGCTGGTGGGTGTGTATATTGCCTCAGTGAGCCATCTTTTTTAACTAAGCAGTAATATTTAGGTTGGAAATTCGGAAATAATTGCCAACAACCTATGTTTGCAAAGCGATGGTATCAGGGTGCTTTTTTTCTGAGCTAGCACAAGCGTATTTCTACCTCTCTTATTGCTCTTAAAACATCAAGTCCTGTTTGAACTAATAGTGGATTTTGACAGAACTGCATCTCTGTTGAAACTGATTCAGAAAGCAGTTGTGTCCATCTTTGCTACTGAATGAAAGCCCAGTAAATCCCAGAAACAGCCTGAAAAGCCTTCAAGAAGTTTTTAACAGTGATTCAAATGAATAGTATCACCTACTCACGGATGAAATATGCAACTTGTCTCTATTCTCCCATTGCTGTGCCATCTGGGTACATTATGTGAAATAAAACGATATCAGTGACTGGCAAAAACTCCTGTGGCTTCACAAAGGGAAGCAAGAAAGTCGATGAATTGCTGCTCTTTTTTCCTGTTAAGCAATCTCTCAGTTGTGAGATTTACAGTTATTTCCAATGTATCTGTCTACTATTTAAATAATTGAAAAGGCATGCCCTGCAAACACATTTTATAATTCACTCACGAAGACAGGAGGATCTTCCACTTTGATAATCACCGTAGTTAATCACAGGTGAAAACTTTCTGAATAGCTCTGGTATTTTGAAAGCTGTGAAACGGCCATTCTTGGTCTTGGTTGAAACCCTTCCCATTGCAATACCCAACACTTAACGTGTCAGCAGCAGCATGCATGAGCTGCTCCAGGCAGGTTGGGCCGACAGGGGGTCATGAAGGCATCATTTAACAGGTAGGTCATCACATTGGAGGCCATATAAGAAAATAGACTGTGGTTCACATGGGTCTTGACAGCAAGTATTCCTGGAAGAGACCTTTCAGAAACTTCTCGATGCCATGGTGGATAATTAGAGTTGATTCCAGTGTAAACATGTTCAGGCTCTGGACTGTCCTTGTGTCTGGGGGTGACAGGCTTGCACATGGCTTGGAAGGCCTTTGGCTGGCTGAAGACTTTGGTTTCCAAGGGTCAGTGCAGCTGCTCAGATTGCCTGCTTCTGTCAAGAAGCACTATTAAAGCAGAATTAAAAAGCCCCATTGTAGGATGTGTGCAAAGGTTGTGTGGGTGACAGGCAGCTAGCAAGTCCCCAGCATAAGCATCATGTGGCTTAGTCTAGGGCTGCAGTGTTTTGATTTTGTACTTGCCCAAGGTATCCAAAGCAGCATGCAGGCTTAAAAGTGCCCATAGGGGTCTCAAATGCCATTTCTACTGAGCAGGAAACAGCAGCTTTTCTCAAAGCTAGTGGCAGAAAGCTGCTGTGATATGTACCTTCACCTACAGACATCTCCACTTACCAGGGCTGATTGACTGGTTTATGAGGAGTTGGATAAAATTTGCAGGTCAAGGAACTGAATTTCTAGTGTCCTTCTACTAACTAAATGGCCAGCACAAAACATAGCTTTTCTAATCACTCCTTTTCTCCAGGACTGCTTCTGGATGGTATTTCTTCCTTACACTGTCATCTGTTAGCTTGTTAAGCACAGGAGGTTGACGCTTGCAGACAGCACCCAAATAGTCAGCCGGCTTGAGCCTTGGTCTGGTGCAACTGCAGTGGGCTGCCCGGAGGTTTTACAGGGTTTGCAGCATGGCAGATGCAAGGTGTGCAAGGACTAGCCTTGTATTACCACAGCTGCCATGGCCAGCAGGCAACAGTTAGAGCAAGGGTATTGCAGAAGGTCCGTCTTACTTTCTGGAAAAAAAAGAGATTTGCAAAAAATAGATATAAGCCTGGCGTGTCCCCCACTGATGGCTGTCTAATGGAAATGTATGGGAACTTTACCATTCACTACTTATGTGTAAATGCATCCCGTCGTCACCATGTAGCCAAGCCTTGAGGTTTTAAGGACCATCAGAAGTAACATCCAAGATTTCCTTTCTAAGGGAAGGATTCTGATCAGATTAGTGGGTGTTACATGGGTGATTATCTGGGACATAGTTAATGCTAGAGTTGTTTGCAGTAATCTGGTAACTCCTGGTTTATGAAGTAACTTCACAAAACAAGCGGAAACGTGTTGGCATTTCTTACAATATGTCCATTAAACACTTAAACTCGATTGCTAAGGAAAATGTCATTGCAGAGCAGAAATAGTGCGGTATTGGCCTGCCAGGCAAGTACACAGATGTCCAGTGCAATCGTGAAGAAGTGATTTGTCGGTGTATCGGCAGTGCCTTCCCAAGGAACTGCGTGTCATTGCATTTCACTTTCCTTTAATTTGACTATGCCATGTATCTATAAAGTATCACCGTAGCAGTACAACTGCAAATTAGGCTAACCAGGTGTCTTAAGGGACCTGGTCAGGTTTGCCACTGGGATTTCCTGGCTGTCAGCCCTAAAAATAACTGATTTGTTGATACACCAAGTCCAAAAGAGTCTGGACTCAACAACAGAAGATTTTACATTGCTAGGTAGTATCATTGCAGTGCATTAAGCTCAATTCAGCACGAGTGGGTAAAAGCCAAGAAGCCTGGAAAATACCTGGGTTGCTGTTCACACTAAACACAGTGTTTATAGCAGTAAGCTGCAACCTGCATTTTAGCTTGTTACTTTAACGTGAGCTCTAGTACATCTCTCTGGCAATGGGAACACAGTAGCTTGAGTCTATGCCTGTTGCACTTGCAGTCTTTTTTGAATATAGACACAGTTGCTGTCTTTGAGTGCATCTATAAAATGATTAATAGTGATTCTTTGCCTATTAGGAGAGTTGTGTTGTGAGCACTTGAAAAAATGAAGGAATGGGAATGAGCTAATACTGACTAAAACTATATATATTATCCCTGAAACAGTTTAGCAACACAGTATAATGGGTTTGGTTGGTTTTTTTTTTCTTTCCCCATGGGTGAGATATTTTGATGACCAGGAAGTTAAGTTTCAAAGTGCCTGCCAACTTACTGTAATGAAACAAAGGCAAGGATTTTCTGGAGCGTGGCTTATCTCTACATGAACACATTCTAAAGTAGATTTTAAAATCTGTCAATGACAGAGGGGAGAGTAATGACATTACTATAGCTGTCTCATTAAAAATATTACACGCTGTTGTTCAGATTTATTACAGAATAAGGTAGCAGACAAATACAGTAAACTTACAAATACTTGTTTTTCTGGAGCTTGATTCAATTGCAGTAGATGGGAAATTGTGTTTCTGGGACCAGCAGTGTATCACCTTTTGTTTGGCTTTAAATCCATGATTTAGATTGAGGATGTAACAGATTTGACTTAGAATCAAAGTCCTCTCATCTGGGCATGTAGAGCCTAGAGCCCTGCCTATTAAAAAGTCATCCTCTTTCACATATCCTGTTATTAAAATCTCCAAATATTCCCTTAAGTAAAGAGTTGGTTTTTCATATACCTGATCATGCCAAGCAAGGCCCTGAAAATTCTTACTCAGTGATGTGAAAATTATCTGGTAGTCAAATGGTCCTCCCTGGAAATGGGAGAGCTGTGATGAAACTGATAGAGTTTGGCTGTTGATTTCCAGTAGGTTCGTTATATCAATCTCGAGTCTTTGCTGAATTCACGTTCCTGGGGATGTTCAAAAATTATTTTGAAAACTTATAGGCAGAAAGCTCAGGTCCAGTAAATCACACATTTTGTGACAGGGCAGGATAGTTGGTAGCTTAAACACACTTTCTCCCAAGTTGTGTGAATAGTGAATATCAATGTATTTAATTATTTAAGCACTAAATATTGACATTATAAGAAAAGAAAAAAGCATGAAGAGAAAATCATCCCATCATACAGCAAATTGACAGCATGAAAAGCTCACAGTGAAAGGGGGAAATAAATGTGTTGAGAAATACAGAACTACATGCGTTCTTAGCTCAGTACATTCTGTATACATCAGACTTTGGACAACAGTATTGGGGATATGCATAGGTGCATGTGTAGGTGGGATGTTCAGCCTTTTATTACGTGTGGCAGCATTAAGCTTTCATTTGGGTTCATTGACTATTGAGACTCCCCTAGGAGAGCACTGTCCGGTGAATGAAATTTCCAGTCAACTGGCTACCTCTCATTTTTCTAGTCCCAGTACAGCTTAATCTCTTCTGTTCGTGTGTAACTACCAGATCTGAATCGCTACGCTTGCATCCTGCCCAGTGTCATGTAGCACATCTGGAAATGTTGTGGTTTGCTGAATGACAAGTCGCACTCTTTCCTTCCAGTTCCGCCTGGTTAAGAAAGCACTGAAGCTGCTGCTGGTGTTTGTGGAGTATACCGAATCCAATGCACCGCTTTTAATCCAGGCAGTATCTACCGTTGATGAAAAGAGAGGTGAGTAGCCTTACTTGGGGGGTGCAAAATCCCAGCACTGCTGAGCTCAGGGTGGCATTTCATCACTGATTTCAGTGGTTCTAGGGTTGCTGTTGTGATGCCTGCGTTGTGTGACATTTCCCTCATTTCTTGATTAAAAGCGTATTTTAAGTATTCATGAAATTTAAGATTGGTTTGAGGGATGAATTATAGTGGGAAAGTGAAGAGCAAAAAGCCGAGGAACCCGGTTGCACCCCTGTGCACCACAGTCATTGCCTCTTCCCTGCACCCACGTGCAAAGAAAGCCCCATTGCGTCTTCCAACCTTGGAGGCTCCTCGGGCCAGGCTGTCTTTCCACTTCCATCTGAGAAGCAGCAGTCTGATTTAGAAGAGAAAATGATATCTAATCAGTGTAATCCCTTTGAAGAGAAAGACGAGGTCAGTAATAGTACAGGCTTTATAGTAAAAGTAAAACCATCTGTTGTTACATTAAAATAAAGCCCTTGAGCAGATATTATACTATGAAATCTGTTACCCTTCAGGCTCATGAAAAATACTTGAATATGTATACTGTATTTTTTACAAATAAATAGAACAAAAATGGTTCTTTCTTGTTCTTCCCACAAAGCCATTGCTAAGCTCCCGGGGCATTCTCTCTTGATGCAAAACATTCCTTTGCCTCAAGGAGAGTTTTTGAGGTTGGGAGAGTCATTGTTGTGGTCTCAAACACATGGAGGTTGGAAGCAAGATCCCCTCTTTGGAGCAACCGCCTCCATGCTGAACTTGTTTTGAGCGACTTGATATGGTAAAAGTGAAACAAGAAAGTTGGGGGATGGGGACAAAGGTGGTACTAGAAACAGGAAAAAGTAGCCAGGTTTTGCTTTCAGCTATCTGCATGAGTGTGTTGGAAAGACCCCTCAAAAACCCCAAATTGTCTCTCATATCAGGGGAGCAGACAGGCAATTCAAAACCAGTGTAACACTTTGAATGGTGGACTCTTCAGGTTGGCTTTCTGTTTTGAATTAAAACCAATAAACCTTACAATAAGCCATAAGCAGAAATGTAACTACAGTATTCATGTAATTGTGAGAACTATGATTTATTTTTACAGCCATCCTTAGTATTTCCTCAGCTCTCTGAACTCACTGGTATTCTCAACATGCTCAAATTGCCATCTGTTCACATGCTAGTAAACCTCATTAAAGGAAAAAAGAGAGAGAAAGGAGGACCCTAAACACACTACAATGTGCTATGTATTCCCTTCTGTATCTGTAAAACAGCCTCAGGCAAACATTTACATGCCTCAAAGTAATAAATCAACTTCAGTAACAACAGAAAACACGTGATAAAAAAGTGATGCGTGTAGTTGGATGGATACTTACTAGGAGCATGAGGAGAGGGTTTATGGGAATTCTCATACCTGTGGGTTGGCGGATTGTCTCATGAACTCTTGCAAATAACTTAGCCCCAAATACACAGTTTTCCTTCCTTTATTTCTTTTTTTTAATCATTAAGCAGTTATGCTTAGCTACAAAAGATTTTTTTTTCTTGTTAGAGACTTAGCTTCTTTTCTAGGTCATCAATGTAATAACCCTTCACCTTTAATCTATATTTTGAAATTAGTGGCTTATAACTGAGGAATGCCTGTCTTTAATGACTGATTTAATGGAACAGAAATACAGAGGAAGAAAAAGTGATGTGCGTTTTCTTGAAACATTGTCGTAAATCTTGCAGGTATATAATTAAGTTTAGCACTGCTTTGAAAAAGGTCCAATGTTTCATGTACATACAAGGTGATGAGATATGACATAATTCCTCAACATGTGTACCACACATGATTAACATAAAGAACCCCATAATAACTCAGCCTGGTTTCAAAGCGATCCCATCTGTGGTTTCTATGCAAGAACATATCCATATGCACACTGAAGTAGAGGGATCTGCGGAAGCGCCGGCTTTACTCTCAGATACAAGCAGACCGTAAGTGAGTAACTGCATGGCCCTCATCATATAGGAAGTAGCTTCTAGTTATACTTCCATCTAGATCCCCCTTCCCCCGCCCTTTCTTTTTTCGGAGCCCCCAGAGGAATTTGATCTCTTTTCAGTTTAAGCATACCGGGACTGTGTGGGCTCTGGAAAGCAGAGCTGGCATTGCACTCTGCTATCTGGGGTGGCTTTATCTTGAGCATTATTTAGGACAGAGATTAAAGCTCTGTGGCTGACCTGGACACTGTCACATACCATTTGTGAATTCTGACTTCTTGTTATGTTATTTGTAAATGGCCTACATTATCATAGCTCCACTTTTCCTGCCATTTCACACATAGTTAGATAACCAGTAAATTAATGTAGGTATGATGGAAGGCTGTATGTTCACATGTGTTTAAATAGCCAGGAATACAAGATGTTGTGATCTTTCCAAAAAATATTCGTGTCTTTCCATCTTACGGCAACTAGAGACAGGCACTCTGTAAGTTGGTGGCAGTCTTCATGTACGGTTCTGGCCTGATGCAAGGCTTTCCATGGTTTATACATAATGTGTGTGTCCTGTGTAGTTGTGATGTCAAGATTTTTTGTAAGGCATTAATGTTTTTTTCTGGGATTCATATATAAAAACATTTCAAGGGGAAACTGAGAAAAGACTGAGACAATGTGCAACATTATTCAATAGACTGTATTAATTTAATATAGGCTTTATTATTGCAACCACATAGTTCTCTGCGTGTTTATGCTCCGTTCATGACTACTCGGAGTGCTGTAGTAGCGTCAGGGTTGAGGCTCCAGCCTTCCTGCTGGGAGTAGTCAGGGTAATGAGACGTTACCAGTGAGAAGCCTGTGAAGGGCAGTCGAGCAGTTCTCGTTTCACCCATTAGAAGGCAGGAGAACACACACAAAACTCGACCTCTGCTGTTTTCCGTCAGTGAACCTGTTTTATCGCTCCTATTGGTTTTGCAGCAAGTCCTGCATGGAAGTCATAACCTTATGGGAACATCCCGGTCTGCTCCCAGAGGAATTGCTGGGGTGCTACATCATCATTTTTTTACATCACCATTCCTCTACATCATGATCCAGTGGAAGAGACAGGCTGGAAAGCAAACTTTTTGAGAATTGGCAAGCGTAAATGATTACACTTCCTATTTTTAAAAATAAACTCCATAATGTACAAATATTAAATGGATTTACAGTGTTTACAGAAATACATACATGCATTGCCAAACCTAGGTTTGAGTTTAGGTTCTTCATGATTTGTTACATTCTGAGCAATACACAAAAAATGGAAGCTGTAGATTTTAACTCTGCATAATAGTTTCCTCAAAGGTCCCTCTTCATCTGTAAATGGAGAGCTTTTAATATTCTCCATGATACAAATAGCCTTTTAAAAGAAAAGGGAAAATATACATCATGCTTTTCATATCTCATGTATGAGTGTCATTGTTTTACTACAGCAGCTGATGAATTTAGAAAAGTCATCAATTTTGTAGTGTATGATTTTCCAAGGTATCTTTCACAAAGTTTTTCTGTGTGGCTTGAAAGGAGAAGGAGCTTTTCACTATCGTCCTATCATGAAAAAAAATATTACCTTGAAAATTATTTTTTTTTTCCTGTAGACTCCAGCCTGTGTTCTCATCTTTAAGTGGAGACTCTCCAGGAACAGCGTATTTGGAAATGCAAGCTCAGGGTATGAGAGTGGATGAGAGCAGATGCCTGCTCCAGGTCTGCCCATATCCCTTGCTGTCCAGATCATAGTTTGGAAACTATAGGATCTCATGATATATTAGAAGGGTTATTAACCCAAGTATAGTAATGCAGGAAGTTCATGGTGCAACTTCCATATCAGAACTGCCTTGTCCCCAGGGGGTAGATAGCCTTATGGCTATTTCCATGTTCACTCCTTGGCTGTTCAGCTTGAGGTCATGATGAGGAAAATAGCATTTGAAAAGAAAGATTTAATCTAGTACAGATTGGAGTTCTTCTGTCAAAGTCATTGGTAGTACTGCCTCCTCTCGATATTAGTTAGGAATGAAGATTAGATGAATTTAATTAGTTAGGGATGAAGATTAGATGAAGGCTTTCTAATTTAAGGCTAAATTTTGGAAATTGTTTAAGTTTACTAGCAGCACCTTAATTAAAGCTTTTGAAAGATGGATGAGCTATTATTATGGCTGCCTTACTAGTAAGCGTGCCCGATTAACAATTTTTTTAAAATATATTCTGAAACAGAAAAACAGCACAGGTAGAAGAAAATTATATAACATTCTTGCAGGAAAACAGCCAGGAGATCCCAAAAATATTGTTTTATAATAATGAAGAAGTATAAAGATATTCAGGCAAAAAAAACCCCCAAACACTAGGATGCCGTCTTTAAAAAACAAACTAGGATTGTTCCAATAAGAATAAAACCTGCCTGCAAAATAAAGGCATGTTTCCCTAGGACTCTCACTGAATAATGCAGTATGGATTAAATAATTGATTTTTGTATGTTGTTATCGACTCACTTTTTTTCCAAATGGTATCGTTATAAGTCAGACTTGCATGGTTTCCCCATTTTGTTTCTCTTCCTTATTTTCTTCCATTTTTATTTTTCACTGGAAACCACAGGAAGACATTTTTGTAGTGTGAGCCGAGTGAATTTGTTCCACATGTCTTTTGAACATGTACTGCACAAAATGTCTGTTAATATAGAGAATCTGGTAAGGAGGTGTCTAGTGTATTTTCATTACAGCCGTGTATTCGAATGGGTATTTAATTAATAATGCACATAAATACACTTGGAGAGCTGAGAGTGAATCCCCCCGTCCTTTGATTTTGCTCAAGATAAGGAAGCTCTGATTTATTATTCAGTAGTAAAGATCAGAGAATGTCTCAAAAAGAAGGGAAAAGAAAACAGGAGAAATATTGCTGTCTGTCTGTTCCTTAACAGACAGGTTTTTCCACACAGTGCACTGCCATCGCCTTGAAAACGGAGATCCTTGGTTAGCAGAGATTTGATGTCTGTGTAGCAGGATGTATATAAAATATCAGCATGAATAAACAAGGGCTGTGATCGCTGTGAGAGTGATGCAGAGTTTTTACATCGGGGTCACTGATCAGTCAGCAACAGGTTGTGGTGGTGAAACAGCTGCGGTTTACTGCCTGATTGTACTCAAACGATCATCATCCCTTTAGCATTTGGGGGATGTGGGCTGTTGGAATACTCTGCATTTTTCCTTCTGAAATTCAAATACTCTTGCAGTTATGCTGGCATAGTTGAATGGAGCACCTCTAAGTTAGGGTTAGCTTTCTGCTTTGTCCTCCTCACCTTTAACTTTACTCCAAACAAAACACTGAGTTATAGTCTTTCATTTTTTAATTTAGTTTCCTAGATAAAATAGTTATGTGGGTTTTTTCATTAGTAAATGCAACCATCTGTCTTTTAGCCAAATGAAACAGGATGGTTTTACAAGGTACCTTCCACACAAGAGGTTATCCTGAGTCTGGCTGGTGTTGTCTGTCGGACGTTTTTGGCACAATAAGTCACTAAGCCACTTGGGTTTTGGCATCAGCTAATTATGCAAATGCAAATCAACATGCAAATCAAGCAAGTCTGTCATAACTAAAAGCACAAGTTTTGACCTTACTTAGTGGAAAAATGAGAGAAATGTATCTGAAAGTTCTATAGAGAATATTCTTAATAAAAAAAAAAATCTTTCCCACTCATTGATCATTTCTTTTATCCAAGACACACAGCCTGTAATTTGAGAAAACTCTGTTTCTGTGTTGCACTGTTTTGTTAACCGGAATTATGTTAATGCAGCATAACTCAGTAATATCACTAGGAATGTACGCATCGAATGCACTGAGAGAGTAGCATATAGATTTTTGTTGAATATTTATCTAAGCCTATATGAACCTATGATAGGTGGGGTAAAATTCCTCCTGCCTGATTTTACAAGTACACTGTCAATCAAACTAGACTAACAATACTTCCTTCATCACTGAGGGAGAGAAATTGGTACCTCTGGGGAAAGCCATATTTTCGATCCTTGTATTAGGATGCACCATAGCTTTCACTCACCGTATTAACTTCACTCTGTGAAGCAGGGCAGAGCATCAAGGAAGCTGGAGGTGACTGTGTCCGCTTGTTCTTCTACCTGGCCACATCATTCCACCTCATGCTACCTCTTGGATAAATGTTGATGCTATAGCTTTCTGTTTCGATCACCTTCACCAGTGGTTTCTGCTTTTCCTCTAGGAGCCAAGCCGTGGTCCAACATCATGGAGATCCTGGAGGAGAAGGATGGGGTTGATACTGAACTACTGGTTTACGCAATGACCTTGGTTAACAAGGTTTGTTTACTTTGTCAGCATAACTGATGGAGATAATGTTAGTATTGTCAATTGTATAATGATCTTCCCTGTTGAGAACATATGACAAAGGAGACCTGTCCCAGAGAATTTGCAGGACAAACTGTAATCAATCAGCACGCTCTCATTACTTGTGTTGCAGTCACCCAGAGGCAGCAGCTGGGAGCAGAATTGCTGTTTCACTAGATGCTGTGTGGAAACGTGTTATGACATGGCTCCTCTCCCAACGCTGACAATGCAGTGCAAAACAAAACTCAACACGTTATCCAAAAGAAAGCAAGTGCTGGTGAAAAGATCACATGCTCACAAAGGCTCGCATTGTGCACAATTTTCTAGTTCAGATCGTTTAAATTTTTTTTTTTACTGTAAACCAAATATGATGAATTTACCAGGTTTGAGTGGTAATACGAGTGTTTCTCTTTTCTTAAAAAAAATTTTTAAAAGAATAAGGCTACATTTTTTCTTCTTTCTTTATATTTTCTGGTGTCCTGTATTACAAGCAGTAGTTTTGCAGTAAAATCAAATGTTTTCCAAAGTACTCACTTGTGCTGTGAGGAGGGAGAAAGTGAAACGCCTGTAAAAGTTAGAAATTTATTAGTGTAAGTTCCTTGAAAATTAGCGTCTAGTCTTAAACAAATCTTAGGGTGACTAAAATTGAAAATGGATTTTTTAAAAAGCACAGAAGATCAACATAATACTAGCAAATCAAAATAACTGTGTGTTTTATGGTTATACTTCATAGGCCAGAGTATTATGGAATATTATTGTTATTCTTTTTATTCATTTAAAGAACCTGAGTTTGTCTCGGCTGCCAGCTTATTGTGCTCACGGCTACGTGGTTGGGGCCATGTGTTGTTTTAGTGGTTTTTTTATAAAATAATTCCAGCAAAGATGCCCAAGAGGCACTAACCTCTCCTGGTGATATCGCTGATGTTACTGTACTTTTACTTAGAGCCACCCTTGCTCCTGCTTACATGGTGGTAAGGATCCTCTTGACTTTAAAAGACCACCTTATCTCACTGAGGTACTCATTTCTGAAAGGCATCATCAGCTTTATATGCTTCTGTCTGTAGCTGCTGTTAAAGCCAAGGAGATTAGTTTTTGATGTCTTCTTTTTACACTTCATTGTTTTGTGTACCGATTCCTCTTTCTGAGAATTTCTTTCCTCTTCCTTTGTCACTTGCACAGTTATAATTTACCTGGTGTTTGACTTCTTAAAAAAATTTGGTTTATGTTGACTCTTTTTTTATCCTATAGTTGATTCCTTTAGTCTAAGTTTTTCACTACATTTAAAGCTATTTTTAGGAGGAGGTAGTTCTTTAAAAACACACAAAAAACCCCCAGTATCTCAAAGTCAAAGGAGCAAGGCAGTTATGAAGATCAAGGAAGAGAGGAATCCCACAATCCCACACTTATAATTATGATCTGGCTTATGGACAGCTTTATGATGTTTTTAATGGGATTTTTTTCATGATTATAGAGAAAACAGCAAGCAGCATGTCACAGTTGTAATTTTTTTCCCCCGCAGAGAATACAAAAAAGGCTCAGATGGTTTCAACTTCTCTAGGCGAGGAAATGTCAAAGTTTTCAGTGCCGGCAGACTCCTCACAAGGGCTTTGTCTTAAGGAAGCATGCTTCTGCTCCTTTTTCTTTCTCCATGTATACATTTACAGACTGTTTTCCTTCTTGCTCAAGAGCAGAAAACATATCTGCTCAGACACAAGAATTACTCCAATCCTTTTATCCTCTCCCTCGCTTTTGTTGATGCATAACCAATTTACTTACGCTAACATTTCATTAACCCTCGCTTAATTTGGGGGGATTTAGGCATTAATGAATCTCTTAAATGGGACTGATCCCAATGCAGATTCTTCCAGTTATATGTAGTTCCAGTATAACCTTTGTTATCTTCCTTCAGTTAGTTCCTATGATCTGCTAGATCTTAGTCTAATCTCTACTTTCTTCATTTTTGCCACTGAGGTCTGGATAGATTAAAGCTGTTGTGTTTCCTTTATATATAAAAAAAGAAAATTTGGTGTTGTATTCAATTCAGTTTATATTTACTTGCTATAAACTCTCTTCATTATCAAGATTACACTGCAAGCTTTGTAGTTGTAAGATTACTGTTGATTTTCTTTTTACCTGTATTTAATATCGCTTGTTCTCCCATATCATACAATACATGAGAAAAAAAAAAAAAAGGTAGATAAAATAATGATGAGGTATATAAAAGTTAATACATTTTGGTATAGTCAGACTAAGTGCTGAATGTTTTTTAGCAGGTCCAGTGTAAGACTAGAAGCTTCCAGACGAGTGGTTGCTGGTGGGAGCTCAGAGTACCACCTACCAGGGGTCCAGCAGCTGTATTTGAAAAAGTGCTGTTTCAGGCTAGTGTGGTGTTAAAACAGGAGCTGGCACATTGTTTTTCAGTGACCTGCCTTAAGAGCATTGCAACTGCCACACTGGAACAGTGATCATCTGCCATCCTGTGTCTGACATGGGCCACACCAGCTGTTTCAGAAGTTGTGGTTGCTCAGAAAACACATACATGAGAGATGCTTCTTCCTATCCCAAAGCAGCTGAAAACTTGGCTAATGCCCTTAAGGGTGTTTATTGACCATGTAGTGCTTTTCACTGTAGCATGTAAGATTTAGCTAATGTCTCTTTATGGGCACTGTAGCGAAGCCCAGCCTGTTGGATGTTTAGTAACCAGAGCAGTACTCTTACATTACTTGGATTTGAATGTAAAGCTTTGCACACCAAATGGACTTTCTGTTGTCTGTATCCTCACTGCATCACTGCTTTATACTGTGATTGTTTTGTCAATGACAAAAGGCATCACACTTACTAGTTTTACTAGCTAGTATCATCCAGGGCTACACATTTTGAAAGCTTCAAATAAAGAGAGCCTCTTAGTCTGAAGCCAGGCATAGCCTAGCACTAATTTTTGTCAGGTTTTGTTCAGAAACGTAACTGAGGATATGTAAGCATAAGAATATTGTGCTATTACCATGTTGTCTAATAGGTTTTATCATCTCAGAAAACATTTGGCTGTTGCACTCCCACAAAACTCTTTTGGTTTTTTTTAACCCCTGATACAACTTCATCAGGTTTTTTGACTTTCTTTCCACTGGCACTGTTACAGTCAGTGGTAGGTAAAATGTATATGTTGTTAAGAAGATATATCAAGCTCAAAACTCTCAGGCTGGGGTTTTGGTTTTAATTTAGTTCACCATTCCAAAAGCAGCCACTTGGGAGGGAAGAACTCAAAGCCTCACAGGCTTTCCCGCAAGGGCTTGGGAAAGCAACTTGGAAAATCACACAACAGACAAATAAAAATCTTAATTCAGGGATGTTTCTTCAACCAAAAATGGAACAGAGGCATAGGAATGAGTCTTGACATTCATATTCATGCGTCCTTTGTAAACCTGAGTTCTAAAGAGTTTCAGATTTGAAATCCCAGTTTTGGTCTAGGCTAGCTGTAACATAACAAAATTCAGCAAGCAAACCACAGAGTATGGTTTAAACACGCTTCTCCAAGTGGCTAAATGTGAATTCCCTAGAAGGTTTTCATTTTGTAAGGTTCAGTCTTCAGAGCAGGAGGAAATATCTGGGACCTGTATGTGCATTTTGTTATGGGAGTATCATTTTGAACTTAACCCGGTACTCAGGAAGGAGGAAGGACCTCGGAAGGACCTGCCCAATTTATGACCTCTGCTCTGCTGGCTGCGGCTTTTGTTTCCTTTATAAAGCCCCCAGGAAAATGCGGGCCCACTCTTGTTTTCTAATATCACAAACCAGAATTAATCAGTCATTTATGCAAGCGCTTCATGTCCCCTGTGTTAGTTACTGCAAAAATCTTTCTCCTGAGCTAGATTGAACTGACCTTGTTGTGACACCAGTGGTGCCCTTTTACATCCCGTTTTATAATGTTAGAAATTGAATTTGATATGCATTAGGCTCTGAAAATGGATCTGTGAGTTTAATGACGAACTGTGTGAGGGAAAAATATTTGATTTCTATACTTGGGAGTTCAGTTGCCCAGTTCTGGCCTCTAGCATGCACTGAAAATTGGATTTCCACTGCCGCATGATTTAAAATTATATTAACCAATAAAAGGCTGCTGACAAAAGCAGGGTTGCCAGTAAATACTACTTTATGCTGTTCTTTTCCTTGTCTACAGCCTGCCTGACCTCAGATTTTAAAAAAAGCTATACTTAAAGGCGGGTCATCTGCATATCAACATTAAGATAATTTTCTGATAGTTTAAGAAGTAAATGCTCAGAAGATCTGTGAAGAAGGTCTGACCACTTGTCCGCCCTTTTGCGCATAAGATATCATATCTTACTGTGCCTGAAGACGCTCTGGTCATTGTAGCTGCTATCTACTTCTTTCATAAGTAAGAGAAAGCCTGATAGACATTGTTTTCTGTTATAGTATTTCCATATCCATGTTAAAGCTACATTGAATTTGCAGTGTAGAAAACTTCATCTGCTGAATCCTCCGATTTCTACTCAATGCTAGGTGTCAGTTTAGGAATGAACAAAATGCACATGGTATCTATTTTCAGGACTGTTCGGGAAAATTTAGTTCCATGGTATTTGCTGGGTTTTAAACAGCCTTAAATGCTGTCCTGGACAGAGACACATTCTTAATTAGAGCCTGAACATATAACCCTGAATGTAAAACCCTAACACTTCATTAGTGTTTGTGCTAAGCATTCCTGTTGCGGTGGACCTCACCAGACATAAGGTAATAGTCCTGCACTGACTGAAGATGATGTTGCTGTGTTGTGTTTAGTTTAAAAACCGAATAATTAAATTAAAAAGTAACTTGGTGATGCACATTTTCCAGTGCCTCATTTCACAGGGAAGAGGTAATTTAAAAGGGCAGGGTATGTCAGGTGTCTGTTATTCATGTAGTTTAGGCCAATTTTTCTGAACGTAAAGCTTCTTGGCGTAGGGAGGCAGCCCAGAGTGGCTGCTCTCTTCTGCAGTCTGATGCTCAGACCCACTTTGGAAAAGCCAGGCTCCAGAAAATCAGTATTCTCAGAGCACTGGGCATGAGAAGATCAAACTCTTTCTGGAGAGGGCCTGTTTTTTGTGTGTGCTGTCTCTCTTTCTTGCTCTTTCTCTCCTCTACTGGGGGTATAGATAAGTTACTTAGCTAATTAAATAGGAGAGGGATTACTTGAGAATAAGCATCTCTCTGGTGAGCTAATCCAGAATAACTGTGCTGTTTCCAGTGTGCGCTCTCCCATGTTTTGCAGAAGCAGCTCTGTATAGGCTGATTCTTGCAATGCAGTATATGTTGCTCTGCAAGCGGGTTGCACGGTATGGTTGGTAATTTCTGCTCAACATGAGTAGAATTAGACTAGTTTTGCTGCATTATGCTTAAAGAGCAGTAAAAAATCAGCACAAGCTGAGTAGAAGTCAATGGCAAACCAGAACAGTAGTATTTTCTGTTGTCTTTGTAAATGTCTGCAGGACTGGTGGATGAAGTTCACTTGTGCTCTGAACAAAGTTGTGCAGTGCCCGTGTCCTCTTCCCATGCCTCACTGCCATAAAGCTGTGAGTGGCTTGATTCAATCCCTCTTGCTACAGACACTGCGGTGGCATACTACAGTATGCGTGGTACGCTGCAGGAGACCACCCTCCTTTTCTCAGTTTTTTGAATTAACGTGGTAAGAAAAGTGCTCACTCTTGAACACAGAGCAGGTGCCACAGAAAGCTCTCAACTCAAACTGTTCACCTTCAATACCTATTGTTATTGGCATTCTCTATTCTCTACCGTGCGAAAGCTCCTCTCCAGTGTCACTGGTAACAACTTAGCCCATAATCAGGAATTAGTAACTCTTTTAATATTTTATAGGAGTTCAGGAGTCAGCGTACCTTTAATAAGACTTCACAACTTGAAAGGGAGGAAGGGAAAGGAGTCAATATCTCCACGATACAAAGCAATTTGTGCGTCAGGAGAATGACCTCTGCTGCAGGTGTGGAGAGCAGTGGGCACACGGGGCAGGATATTTCCTGCTGTCCTGACATCACACAGCTGTGCATTGGACCTTTTCTTCTTAAGGCCAAGCTTAACGGAATCAGTAGGAAATCGGCTTCACTGTTTTTAGCGAAACCGTTTTTTTTTCTCTCTCTTTGCTTTTATCCCTGTGTTTGATGCTTTAGCTTTCTCTGTTCTTTAAATCTGTACTTCAGTGAAACCAGGAAGAACCCAACTGTGTATTTTAAAGACCCACATTTTCCATACTTTTTTGTATGAAATAACAACATTGATTTGTTTTGCCAATTATTCATTTTTCTACACCACGCACAGAGTTGTTTGTTAAAAGCTCTGCCACTTGTTTTTTATTTTCTAGCGGTGTCTCTAATCCCACATCATGGGTTTTACTTTATTGAAATCATACATAGCACCACTTGCCACCCGCTTTTAAAAACCTTTGTTTAATTCTTTTCAAAACAAACATATTTAAATGTTTTTCCTTTGATTCTTAGACACTGTCGGGGTTGCCAGATCAAGACTCTTTCTACGACGTGGTGGACTGTCTGGAAGAGCTAGGCATTGAAGCTATTTCACAGAGACACTTGAACAAGAAAGGAACAGACTTGGACTTAGTTGAGCAATTTAACATTTATGAGGTAACATAACATGCCCTGTTTTATGCATCTTACAGCTTGCGCAAACTTCAAAGCCAAGAGGAGGGGGGAATGTAACCTAGGTGAAACTTGGTTATCTATTTTATTTTGAAAGAAAAACATCTGGTTGCTAGAAGTATTATACACATTCGTATATGTGACCTGCTACAGCACATAGCTGCGTTTAATGCAAATGCATTTCATGCTAAAGCTGGGGCATGCTCCAAGGCAAACCAGCACATTTACTAGCCTCCTTAGAGGCAGTTCTGCCTGCAATTAAAACTTTCTCAGACTGCTAGTTACACATCCTGCAGTAAGTCAAACTACTTTCCATATGCAGAAGTATTCAGCTCATGAAAAAGGTTCGGCTGAGCTTAGCTTCACAAATACTTGTTCTGCGGCTGAATACCCAGCAAGTCCTTGTTTACGAGTTTACGCTGGACCAGATCCTATACAGTTTGCAGCAATGGAGTAATGAGTGACTCCACATTCACCACCTAGGTATAAAATAACTGCTTCTGAAGTGTTTATACGTAAGGGTAGGATAGCCAGTTTCTTAATAAATAGCTTCTTTTCAGACTTTGGGAAGTGTTGCAGCGGGGATATTTAGGCTGAAGTTAATGTAATGTAAATGTGAATTCGTGTTCTGGTGTGATGAAGTGAAATTACTTTATCTCCAGCAAAGTCCAGCAGAGGATTTGTTAGATTTGATTCTCCATTTTCTTCATTAACTCTACACCCATGTCACTTCACTAACTTTAGCAGAGTTAAGTTTTATACACAGCATTTTGCAGGAAGAGTCAGAACATGAGAATAAGAGGGCCTCATGTTCTTCCTTCTTTTTCTGTTGTCAGAGGCATCAGTTCATAAAATCCTTTTTAAAAGATTATGATTAATCTCAAAAGCTGGGGGGGGGGCGGGGGGGCGGGGAGAGGAGGGGGCGTGCATGCTGTGCCTACTGAAAGACTTGATTGCAAAATTAGCTGTTGGCTTAGTCAGGTACCACCTTTCTCCTGATGACCAGACTAAATTTAGACATGCCTATGCACATTCTTTCTTTTTTCTGCCAGTCTTGTTCTTTACATGAATTTCTTCCCCACTGATACAGATTTCACACCCTAAGCGGAGATATCACACTTCCCCCTGCCTTTCTTTTGTTAAAGTCACTCCTGGTAAGAATTATTAGAATAACAAGACTAATAAAAGCAAGAAGACACACATTCTTCTGATCACCCATATCTCCCTCTTCTGTACCTCTTATTTGAATGGATCTTTCTCATATAAAGATTACTTAAATTTTATGCTGCATTTCAGCTGAGATCCACCAGTGCCTTTGTTGTTTCTGCCAGCAATATCTCTCCTTACGTACCCTAAGGTAGCACTTGCTTTGTTTCTGTGAGAGATATGACACCTTGGCATGTCAACAGCAGACTGTAGTTCAAGATAGCAGGTGTTGCACCTATATTTCACTCCTCTGCTATTTCCAACTGATGAGCTCCCAACCTGTGTCAGAAGTTTCTGTCAAATGTCATTGTGGCCATGCTATTCTCAGCATCATTCTTTTCTGTTTCTCTGTATTGACAGTGCTTCTGAACTGGCAGGAAATACTTAATTTTCCACTGAAAAGCATACATGAAAGTAATTACGCTAACCTAAAAATTGGGAGGGTTAGAGGAGACGTGTAATCTGTGTTTTTTTTCTTTTAATCTATTGTGGTATCAGTTCACAGAAATAGTTTTGTTTGTTAGGTTTTTTTCCTTTGTTTACTTTGCAGGGAGATCTGTAAAAATTGAGATTTTTAAGAGGAATGCAGTTACACATACATCTGCTGACCTCTTCCTTGGCTGGGAAGAAATGATGGCACTATTCTAAGATACTTGCTAAAGTCGTAAACAGTAACTTCCACTCACATCATTACAAGTGTCATGTGTGAACATGAGGAAATGTTCAGTCAGTCAACTCATGAAAAGTTTTTCTGTTGATTTCACTAGACCCAAGACTTCACCTAAGTATTTTGGAAAGAAATAAAAACAGCTGGGTGTCCAACAATGCTCAGTTTCCTTGAAAATTAAGTCCTACATTAAAAAAAAAAAAAAAATCAAACAAAACTAAAAAACCCTAGGAGATATATAAATGTATTGTTACAGATCCTGTAGTGTTCTTTACAAGGTGTCAGTATATAATTCCATTATTAGAGCTGCTACACTGCATTGATGGGCAGACAGCAACTTACAGGGATAGCTATAGAAATGGTGATGCTTATAGGAGTTAATCATGTTGAGATCAGTTAATTTTTAAAGTCTAGGTCTGAAGACCTGTGGTACCTAAAGGAACTGTGTCAGAAGCCTCACCTTTCCTCCTTTCTTTCTCAGATGACACTGAGACATGAAGATGGAGATGAGAGTGCTGAGCCCCCTCCCAGTGGGCGCAGGGACCGGAGAAGGGCCAGTCTTGGTGCTAGTGAGCGGAGGGGGGTAGAGCGACGACGGAGCCGCAGGCACTCGGTACAGAATGTCAAAAGCACTTTATCAGCCCCTGCGAGTCCATGTAGTCAGTCGAACCCTAGCTTCATGCTAGGCCATGGACAGCACGTTGAAGATCTCAGTGAGAGGTAAGTGCATGAGCTGGGGGATACTTCTTCCTTTCCCCTGATTACTTTCCATTATGTTCATCTCACTTTATTAATCTGCCAGACTTTTGTTTTCTTTTTCCCCTCTTTCCATTGAATTAAAGAAAAAAAATATTTAAATTTAAAACAAAAAAACCCAACAACATCAACAAGAAGAAATAGATTTGTAGGTGACTTGATTTATATACATAGATAAGTTCTTTGGCACCGTCTACCCTAAGTAAATGGACCCAAACCACATGAGGTAGAGCATGTGATATGGGAACTAACCAAGGTTAATCTTATCCACTGACAGATTTTGTATTCAATATAGCGACATAATAGAAGATTGTAACAAGGGCATAGTCACATTAATGCAGTCTTATTTGCCCTGTATATGTCACAGTTCATTCTTCCCTGCCCCCTGCGCTTCGCAATCAGCGTTCCAGCATAAATATTTTCCTTTGAGGCTACGCTGTATGTATCATTTAATGCTTTATAATTAGTGAAAGAGAGACAGCAATGGTTAGTTGAGCAGCAGTCTGTAACACCAGAGTCAGTCAAAGCTAGTAGCATTGCCAGTCCCATAATGGTTGGCTTGGGCTATGCATGCTTAGGAAAAAAGGGAGCTGTTGATCCTCGGTGTGCCTGACTACCTCACAAGAGGGCTGGAATTAATTTTGCCTAAGTCAGATGTCTGATCGTCTTGCCTCCCTTTGATGTCAGTGGAGTGCAGCAAGCACTGCTAGGCCTTCGGTTATCTAACGTGTTCTACATGCCTGAAATTTCAACCAAGATGAATCATGCTCTGAAACTGGCTGTTTCTCTCTGTTGACCATAAAGGGAATCTGGCTGACTAGCTCAGGTGAAGGTGCATACCCTGCAGATAGCTAAAGCTGGAAACATCTGTCATCCCATGGCTCAAGGTGCAATTTGCAAAACCGAAGCATGATCCATGAAGAGCATATCTTGGGTTGATTATAACATTTGGGAAGTTCTTTGGAGGTTTGTGTTGGTTAGCACTGGATGTAAATTTAGTGTTACATGTAAAGCAGTCCTTCTTGCAAAGCAAACTGAGTTGAGTAAAGCTTAATGGCTTCAGGCAATACAAAAATATAAGACTTTTTTTTTTCTTCTTCTTCTTACATTTGGCAACATATTCATGCTTGTTTTCCATCACCTTATATTGGTCGGGCCTTTAGTGAGCTGGAGGCTGAGTGCCCCATGGTCTTACAGGCTGATGAGAATGATGATGGTGCATTTGAGGCTGAGCTTAAAGCATCTTCAGTGTGAGTACAGCTGGGGGCTTCAGCCACTCCTCATGGAAAGCCTCGCGCATGTCCTTGGGCCCTTACCAGTGGTGACTGAGAATCTGTACCTGTGGATGTGCAGCCGATATCATTGATTTGTTAAACTGATTAGTTTAGATTAGAAATAAGGGGATTCTTCAGCTCTACAGAAATTGTTCATTCTTTTACTGTAGTTAAACAAATACAAGTCGTGCAGGATAACAACTGCTACCAATACATTTTCTTACTATTAATGTTTGCTTAATAGCTTTATTTTTCATTCTTCAGTAATTCCTAATGAATTTGTGTTTGGACTGATTTTTAGTGTCGGAGCAGTAGGAACATGGCAGATTAGTTTCATAAGTTCTTCGAAATATTCTTTCACCAGCATAGCATGATTTCAATAATTATCTTCCTTTTCTGTAAATAATTATTCAGTTCTGCTCTGCATCCTTCTTGAAGCTGACATAATTTAAAGCATAATTTAAGTTTAAATACAAAAAAAAAAAAAAATCTTCATTTAAGCAGTCAAATTTAATTTCATGTTGCAGTTGTCCTTGGAATATTCTCTAGGAAAATAATTAAATTAGCTTCAGCTCCCTATGGAATTTCTAACTTGCTCACCTGCCTCTCTAAGGAAAGAGGCATTCAATTGTGAATTTATGTAACACTGATCTTCACTTCACGTATTAGTTAAATAGAAATCATTCCCCCCCCCTCCCCCCATACTCCAAACCTCTTAGCAGGTAAAGCCAGGGAGTATTACTTGTAACTAACAAATCAGGTTTGGTTTTTTTTTCCCATTGGACATTACAGACCACAGAATATGTTTCAGTACACAAAGGTGGAAGTTTTATGTCCAGTGAAATTTTCAAAGTTGCCATAGCAAGAAGCTAGTCAACTGTTGGTTCTTCTATAAATCCCGCTGGGTTTCTGGTAACCAAATGTTTCAGAAAAGCTGATTCTATCCTTCACATTTTTAGTCTCATCATCTACCCAAATCTGTAGTTGTGGTAGGAAGAAGGAAACCAGCCTTCCTGCTTTATCATAGCCCAATGAGTCTCTCAGCTTTCCCTGAAATAGTCCAGATGAATACAATAGGATCTCTTCACCTGATAGCTAAACTGGGACAAAAAAATAAAGTGAATGTTTCATGGTTACCATTCATTAACATTTATACAGAAAAATGGTGAAGTTGAATGACTCGTACAAAGTTTTTACACATTTATAAAGTTTTAATTAGCCTTGGGTGGAAAGAGGTTTTTCTTTCTGCATTGTTCCTACTGGAATCAAGTTTTCAAATTTGAGCACATGGTCTCTGATGCAACATATTTATTGCTTTAAAGGATTTTAACAGAGCATCATAAACTTAGGCCTTGCTGCAATTTGCAATGAAATTTTAAAATCGTATGTCAAAATATGATGTAGGCATCACCTGGTTTGTCAAAAGGAATGCTTATTGTGTGCCTTCTGTTTCCATCACTAAAGCTGCAGAGAGGAATTTGTACAAATGGAGAAGAATTACTTATTACCTCTTTAAATTGAAAGTAACTTTTGTTCATCCAGGAAAGATCCGTCTTCTGCTAATGACCTTCTTTTGGTTCATAATCCTAGTCCCTCTCGAGGAAGGAACAAAGTTTGCAATAAGATTTTACAGTGTTTTATTTTCTGAAAAATAGTCTGGAAAATGGATTTCAATCTCTATTCCTTCACTACATTTTCTTTGCCAATAGGAAATATAGAATCATAGAATCGTTTAGGTTGGAAAAGACCTTTAAGATCATCAAGTCCAACCATTAACCTAACACTGCCATCCCACCACTAAACCATGTCCCTAAGCACCTCGTCTACCTGTCTTTTAAATACCTCCAGGGATGGGGACTCCATTCCAGTGCCAAACAACCCTTTCTGTGAAGAAATTTTTCCTAATGTCTAACCTAAACCTGCCCTGGCGCAACTTCAGACCATTTTCCCTCATCCTATCAACCGTTACCAGGGAGAAGAGGCCAACCCCCACCTCACTACATCCTCCTTTCAGGCAGTTATAAGAGGGCCATAAGGTCTCCCCTCAGCCTCCTCTTCTTCAGACTAAATAACCCCAGTTCCTTCAGCTGCTCCTCATATGACTTGTGCTCCAGACCCCTCACACCTGCTTTTTGCTCTCCTCTGGACATGCTCCAGCAACACAACATCTTTCTTGTAGTGAGGGGTCCAAAACTGAACACAGTATTCAAGGTGTGGCCTCACCAGCACCAAGCACAGGGGAAGAATGACTTCCCTACTCCTGCTAGTCACACTGTTTCTGATACAAGCCAGGATGCTGTTGGCCGCCTTGGCCACCTGGGCACACTGCTGGCTCATATTCAGCTGGCTGTCAACCAGTACCCCCAGGTCTTTTTCTGCCAAGCAGCTTTCCAGCCACTCTTCCCCAAGTGTGTAGCGCTGCATGGGGTTGTTGTGACCGAAGTGCAGGAACCAGCACTTGGTCTTGTTGAACCTCATACAGTTGGCCTCAGCCCATCGATCCAGCCTGTCCAGGTCTCTCTGCAGAGCCCTCCTCCCCTCGAGCAGATCGACACTCCTGAGCGATTTGGTGTCATCTGCAGACTTACTGAGGGCACACTCAATCCCCTCATCCAGGTCGTTGATAAAGGTATTAAACAAAACCGGCCCTAGAACTGAGCCCTGGGGGACACCGCTTGTGACTGGCCACCAACTGGATTTAACTCTGTTGACCACAACCCTTTGGGCTTGGCCACCCAGCCAGTTTTTTACCCAGCAAAGAGTACACCTGTCTAGGCCATGAACCGCCAGCTTCTCTAGGAGAATGCTGTGGGAAACTGTGTCAAAGGCTTTGCTGAAGTCCAGGTAGACAACATCCACAGCCTTTCCCTCATCTACCAGGCGGGTCACCTGGTCATAGAAGGAAATCAGGTTAGTCAAGCAGGACCTGCCTTTCATGAACTCATGCTGGCTGGGCCTGATCCCCTGATTGTCCTCCACATGCCGGGTGAGCACACTCAAGATGTAACTATATTTATGATAATCTTACTGTGTCGTCCTGCTGGTATCTAAACCTTGTGTGTGGCTGCAGATGTCTGTGTCTGATTTTACAGTGGATTAGCACCACCAAGTTCAGTGGAATTGCCTTTGATGGACATGGTTAGAGATTAAAATCACACTGTACGAAATTTTGTTTTGGGCAATATTCTTGGTTATTTTTGGACTTCACTACCAAAATCAGTAGAAGATTCAAGTTCTTCCTCAGCATTCTCCTTCCCACAGTATTCATGTTTCTTTTCTTTCTAACTCCGTCAGCTGGTTTGGCAGTTACTTTGCTTTTGTTTACCACATCAAACAGGTTGTCCACAGTCATCTGCTTTGTGTCAACCGATAAGTCTTCCAAAAAGAGAAAAATCCGTGGTGCCGGTAAAATAAAAAAAAGACAATATTGGCCAAATTCTGTCTCACAATGCTCTATATCCAGAAAAGCTGTCTGAAGTCAATGGAGTTGCTCTGATTTACGCCAGGCTAATTGAGAGCAGACTTTGGGTTTTGAGCTGGGAAAAGTTGACCGTAAATGCTAAGGGCAACCAAAAGGAAAACTTGTAGGCCTTCTTCATCCATTTGGCAACCTTCTTCCAAACTTAATGTATTGCTTTTTTGCTTGTGGTTCAAAACAAATAAAGACCCAGATCTGCTTTGTGTTAAAAT